ACCATTTGAAGTACTTGACGTTTGACATCTTATTCTAGTTTACTCAGTGTTGAATAATGGTGGCACTAAGCATTACATCTGCACTTTAACAGTTATATTTATATATTCATGCTCAGTTATCAAATAAGAAAATTCCCATGAAGCTGCTCTTTATTCGACCACATTAAACCTCTTTTCTAACAACACAAATATTTGTTTTTAAAACATGACAAATACATTTTGAGACAATCAAATAGCATCTTGACTTACACAACTTTAAATTGCACAAGAATCCTGCCTCTCCCATATCCCCCCTGTCTGTCTACATCCGATGTGTTTCCAACACATTTTTTTAGACCTTTTTGAATCAACACTGTGTACCGTGTTTCAATCACACCACTGCAACTCATCTACTGCTGGTTGTGTGCTTTGAAGCTCTCGTCAAATTACAACTTAAAACACAGAGCTATGGTTCTGCGGACTGTGGGCGACCACCTTTTGATGCAACCATCATTTGAGATGATCAAAAACATCAGACATCAGAAGAGGGGCCTTGTCTGGAGTGAATGTTAGGAGTGAATGTCACCTTGTACGACAAGAATTGTTGATTGTTGTGAGTTTCATTTACTAAATTTACCAAGTTAAAATGCTCTGGCAACCTCAATCCATCAATCAAATATCATGTGTATAGCCCATATTCAAAAATCACAATTTGCCTCTTCAGGCTTGACAAAATGTGACACCCTCTGTTCTTAAACCTCAACGAAAAGTGAGGAGGAAATCTATTTTAGCTGGGGGGGGGGAACAAAGAAACCTCAGAGAGAAAGTGAGTGATCCGTCTCCCAGGACGGACAGCAGTGTGACAGAGCACATCAACAAAATATTTACAACATTGAAAGGAAATAAGAAATATATACATTTTTAAAAAGTATTTATAAAAGGAAATTAATTACTTCTCTCTGCCTCTTAATACCTAGTAGATAGCATACAGCAGAGTTACCTTTTACAATGAAGGCAGCAAAATCCTAGTTCAATAAGCTCAAAGAGCCTAAAATGCTTTGTAGAGTTGTCAAGTGTCAAGTTTCAGGGCTCTCCATTTGTCACAGTGGTGTAGAGTAAAACATCCAGTGAAATATTCACTTTGTTCAATTGGTTGCCTTTTATAAGAAGTGAGGAGCATACACTGTGGACCTCAACAATGACTTTCAAGGTGCAGCAAATGTAATCATTACAGGGCAAATTACTGTGGTCTCGTGCATGAAGAGTTCCTGCATAAGTGGCCTGCATCACGGTGTCATCTGTTAATGTCCTTGATTATGCAGATTAGGCAAACAAACTATGCAAATAGAGGGCCACTTTTGCCAAAATTTAAATTGATCGACTGAAACCCCCTTGTTTTATTCAGGCTCCTAACATATTTGCAAAGGGATTTAAAAAAAAAAAAAAAAAAAAAATTACAGATTTGAATACACATTTCATTGAATCACGTTTACTTAGCATCTTTTCACAACCCTGCTTGTTTGACTGATATACATTCTTCTTTGCAGGTTTTACTCAACCCTTGGTATCATGATTTTTGTAAGGTTCGTCATTTTGTTGTAAGGATATGGTGTAAGCAAAACATAAATGAAGTATTTGATCACTTCAAGGGTGAGTGTTGTACAGTCAGTAAAGACAAAAACATCTGTCTCCGTCAGGCTGCGAGGAGACATTACCCAGTTCTTTCTGCTCTAATTTTAAATGGACTTGTAATCGTCTGAATGAGATGGATTCATCTCCGGTGGCAAATTGCTGCAGACTTCCTCTCTTTGAGCTGTCACCTTGACATTTTCATAACTCCTTTTGACATATTTTCAATTGCACAGAGTATCTGATTTTGAATTCAGTTCTCATCTGGGTAGCATCCGATTAGGCAGGAGCATGGATGCTGTACATGCAACATTAAATCTCATCTCCCCTGTCACTTTCTGTAAATTATCACATTCTGTGATAATGCAAATAATGGCATTAGAAAAAGAATGACTTAAATCAAACCGTCCAGAAATCTGCTCTATTGCTTTTATACATTAAAGAGATGTGGTCAGATATCAAACTGACAATAACTGTCTCTTTCCTGTGTCTCTTCAGACTGTGCTTTGACTTGCCTTGGTTTTGATCCATTTGCTCCTCGGTCAGATTCTCTGAGTTTGCTCTCGCCTTTTCCACTGTGTCTTTGACTTTCTCCATCTCGCTGTCTTTTTCTCCACTTCCTGTTTGATTCTGTCTCTGTCCCCCTGCTAACCCTGTCCTCAGGGCAGGCTCAGTGCCCTTCATCTGTCCATCTTATGCCCGTGCCCAGTCCTTTACGCCTGCGGGTGCTGGTGGTGGTGTGGATGCTACTGCATCCTTCAGCTCCCATAATCCGCCTCACATGTCATAAACATCTGAAAGGGAATGAGTAAAATGAAAGTGGTCATGGGAAGTAACCCAGTCATATGGTGTTATGTTTCCATGAGCACATCAAGCATTTGGTTGTTTGTTGCAGAATTGTCACAGATTGTTCAGATAGCTCGTCTCCTGCACATGTAAGCAGCTGTATTGTAAAAAGCAGAATTGAATGGGTCAGCGATGCTTGTAATTGATTATCCATGTTGCGTTCTACACTGGTAGCCGTGGCTAATGTCAATTGTTTTCTTCTGGAAAGGGGTCATGTGATAGGAGCCTGACTAATCAGCAAAGCCTACGTTATGAAAAACCCAATCAGCAAGTGGTTGCAAGTGTTTACATCTCTGTTGACAAAAATCTCAGAAACTAAAAATGGATGGATGGCAGGCGTATCCGTAGTGGAATTAATTTAGTAGTGTGGATTTAGCCTTAAAGCTCTGTGGAGGGACACCCACCACTTTCTAAATGATACATCCAGTTCATAGCAACTTTTGACTTAGTTTTGCCAGTCATTACAACTCACCAAGTTCATTAGTTATCTAAAAACGTGGTGATTTTGCTAATGTCGAATGGGGGAAGGAAAAGCAAGGGCTGTTAAGAGTTGAGAATCTTGGTCAAATATTGCAGAGTTGTGCCTCTTTGGGCTTAACCATGTTTAAATGAAATCTCCTCAGATGTTTAGAGAGGACACGTCTCTCACACAGGAGTATGCAAGACTAGCCCAGGGCTTTGTGGGCTGGTGTCAGTGGAACTGCCTCCAAGTAAACAATGGAACAAACCAATGAGCTGTTGATAGATTCCTGCAGGACACCAAACACCACCCACCCACACCAGTAAACATTCAGGGTGAGGACATTGAGACTGTAAACTGGACAGACAGTTATGATACACAATACTAGAAAGGCCAGAGCAGACTTCATCTGCTGAGGAAGCGCAGGTCTGTCGGGTTGTGGGGCGACTCTCCTTAAGACCTTTTATGACTCTGTGGTGACACCAGCCATTTGTTATGGAGTGGTCTGTTGGGGCTGCGGTATCTCAACAGCAGACAGGAAAAGACTGATTGAAATGGTCAAGAGGGCAGACTCTGTCCTGCAATGCCCCCTGGATACAGTGGAGGTGGAGGGAGAGATGGCCAAGTCCTCTTCTACTCTGACAGCACTGGGCAGCTCCTTCAGTGATCCCGGCAGCTCCACCTGCAGGGTTCAAAGGATTAATACCACAAGACTTTCTCTCGCTGTCCCCACACCAGACACTCCGCCAACACCAGTAGACAATATGAAGGTGGTGGGGGTTGATACCCTCATTTCTCATTAGAAATAGATCCGTATGAATGATACATGCTATAAAATGTACTTTGGTTCCATGTTTTCTTGCATTAGTATGGTAATAAGTTGTATACTTTGTTGTAAAGACATAATACACAATTGTTTAGGCTACACAAACATAACAGTGGCTTGGCAGTGGCTCAGAAAGCCATATTTACCGAAACAATGATAATAAAACAGCAATTGCTGATCTTGTTATTGACTCACTAAGTAGGCGTTGATCTGATAGCAAGCATACACAAAGCACACAAGCATAAAACCGCAACAGCTAAGCACTGGGAGTTGTGAAAGCCAGATTATCAAACATACTGTATCTTGATAAGAGCACCGACCACTGACATAGTAGTCACAGTCAAAGCAAGGACATTGATTAAAATCAAGTTTTCATCATTGTTAATATGTCCATGTGCTGTTTTTATATAGGATACAAGATCTTTATAAGATATCACATTGCCTTGTCCGTCTTTACTGTCAACCATAGAAGTAAACAGTACGTAAGGAATTGATACAGGTTACTTATTTGGAGGAGAAGATAAATGTGATTGGTAAAATGACTTCAAAATGTGATTTCTAAAGGGCAGTGTGTAACTTTCACCTACTTTATTTGTCATTAGAAATTATTCATTTGATGAGGTAATCTGTTTGCTTCTTTACAATCTTTTTGTTGTACTGTTTCTTTCTTTTTACCTGAGCCATGTGTCCCCAAATTTCAGCAAATACTGCCAAAATGTAATCATAATCACCAACAACGAGGGGGTTCCCAAAGTGGGTGCAGATTATGTGGAAAATCAAACAAAACAACCTCTACACCAAACTGCACAAATTGTCCCAGAGTTGAGAAGTTCTACTTCTACGATTTGACATTGATGTCATCACTGTTAGTGTGGATACATTTTGTTTAATGATAGCTAATCACAGGGCATGTGTAGCTTGCTATGGCTGTTGGCCCTTGCACACACTCCCCATTGCCTAAATTACTAGCAATCAATCAACAGCTATATTTTGCACTTCCCTGTGCTTTGCTTCAAGGTTAAATGGCTGCACAGGAGCATGGCAGCGACTGACATTTAAAAACACTGTAGGTGTTATTCACTAAATTGCATCTGAAATGTTTTTCAAATGATACTGCCGCCATCATGACTGTGACTTTGATTCGCATTCTACTTGGCATGAGTCTCTGACTCTGTTCTCGCCTTTGAAGCTCTCTCCTTTTTCTCTCTCTCTCTCTCTCTTTCTCTGTGTCTGCTTCAAATGCCACCCTCCTTCCCTCAGGGCGGGATGATCGCCCTTCTGCTGTCCATCCTGTGTCTGGTCCTGATCCTCTACACCCGCAGGCGCTGGTGTAAACGCCGCCGCATCCCTCAGCCCCAGAAGAGTGCCAGTGCTGAGGCAGCTAATGAGATCCACTACATCCCCTCAGTGCTCATGGGAGGCCAGGCCCGGGAAAGCTTGAGGAACTCCCGGGGTCAGGGGCCAAACTCCAGCGGCACTCTCAGCATCCGGGAGACACCGATTCTCGATGGGTACAAGTAGGGTTTGAGTGGATGAATGAATGTGAAATGGTTAAACTGAAAGAGCACACAAAGTACCTTGACGTAACCAGATTGTTAGATGAATAACCGGTGGAAGTTGTCTCAAATTTTATGTGTAAAATCCAATATCCAGAAAGTATTTTACTGCTATTATAATGTAGTAATATGGAGTTAATTGAGGCTTAAAAATACTTAAAGTATTGTTTTGCTATGCAATACAGAACCACTCAACATCTGGCAGAAACTGCATGTTCAGCAGAGGGAAGCAACGCCAATGCTAGCGCTTGTTCTGCTCAGTACATTCTGCCCCAAATTTGAATGTTGAATGCCCCATCAAGCACATTAGCTATTTGTGAGCTTTTTTCTGATTTAGATGAGTCAAAATGATATGACAATAATTGATATCTACCTCATCCGTAGGTATGAGTACGACATCACTGACCTACGTCACCATCTGCAGCGGGAATGCATGAACGGTGGTGAGGAATTTGCCAGCCAAGTAACCCGCACCCTGGACTCCCTCCAGGGCTGTAATGACAAGAACAATATGGACCTTACACCTGGTGAGTTGACTAATGTACAGTAAGGTCAGAAAACGTACACATGAAAAACATTAAACACAACCTTAAAGCTCAATTGAACAATATTTTTTAGATGAATACTAGGTTTCACCTTCCGTTTTCTTTTCTGTGATTGTAGACTTGTGGTGGGACCGAACACACTTTGATTTTGTTTTCCTTTGTTCCTTTGTCACCATCCAAACTGTCCTGTTCAATCCGGTGTTCATTTTCCTCTTGAATCCACGTCCAGGGAGGGAGGATCTTAATAATATCAGCAGCTGTGGTCAGAGGAACATCATGCTGCTCACAGATGCTCTGCTAATCTTTACCCTCACCATGCTTAACAATTGCCTCCCTTATATCCTCAGTCAGCTGTCTTCTTTTCTTCCTCTCACCACTGTTCTGTGTAGCCAACACAATAACAAACTCCACAATGAGGCTGAATGACCAAATTTATTATATTTTAACCCAGAGTGTCTTGATACAGACACATCAGTAATGTGATTAAAGCCATTTGTATGTTGTCAGTCTGAGAGATGATTTAATTATAGATACAAATATGGCTAAATGCATCATTTGCTAAATGTTTGTTTAGTTGTTACCCCTCTAACTTACAATAGGCCACTTGTAGGTTAGGATTCAGCAACATTAAGTGCCTCTGTTATTGTGCCCATTAAACTTTTCTGATCATTTTAAATTAGAAACTAACTTGACTGTGTGGCAGAAGCTTCAGTTTATGTAATTCATATGCATATTGTTTTTTTCCCTCCTTGGCAGCTATACAATTTCTTAATAAAAACTCAGTAATAAGACAGTTTGTCCAAAGGTTACATTTACATTAGAATATAAGAAAACATATTTTATGAAGAAAACTATATAATTACACTGACACAACTGCAATGATTTTAATAATCAGCATGAAACTCTGAAAACTAATTGGAAATTTAATAAGAACATGTTTTTTCTTCTCATATAGGTGAGGAGTGAATGGATGTAGACCCAGTGATAAGACTAAAGTGCTATCCCTCTAAAAATAAACACAAATTACAAATTATGGTCTGTTCACCTGTTTTCCACAGTGCAAATATCCAAACTGTAGTTATTCTTTCATGGAGTTTATTCACAACACGTGAAATAATCAAAAGGTTGCACATGCTGGCCAAGAATTATGTTTCAGAGAAAATATTTTTCAAAATGAGTGGACTTCAAAGTTGAGCACCACACCCATGTGGATTTGCCCAATGAAGAACAACATTTTTGATTCAGGTTTACTGCCTGAAATCTTAATAGCAACACATTCTATGCTCCGGTTTACCAAGAGATAGGTTATGGTGACAGCCCTGTCACACAGTGCTCTTAGAAAACCCAAACAGCCCCTCCCCAGATGTGATGGAAGCAGATATATCCTGTGCATTTTGCATTTAAGATGTTTATTGGGATAGACAAGAGGAACAGACAATGCTGGTAGCAGGCCCTGCACAGAATATCAAACAGTTGATGAGGTCACTCAGAAAATGGAATTTACACAAAATAACATATAAATCAGGGAATTGTTGCTGTCACCCTTCTTCTTTAAAGGTACAGTGTAGAATTTAGTGATATCTAGTGAAATTGCATGTTGCAGCTGAACACCCCTCACCTCACCCTCCCCTTCCAAAAATGAAAAAGAACCTGTGGTAGCCTTTAATTGTCATAAAAACTCAAAAGGTGTTTAGTTTGTCTAGTCTGGACTAATGTAAAAACATGGCAGCCTCCATAGAGAGGGTCCCTTCTATGTAAATATAAAGTATTTAAATATAAAGGGGCTTTCCTGAGGTAAAGAAAACTACAATTCATACAATTTAGATGAAACAAACTAGTGAAAACATCATGAGGATTATTCTACATTCAATTTATGCCAATAGATTCCTTTCACCTAAATCTTACACACTGGACCTTTAAGATTACCTAAAATATAATATATTAACTCATGCCTGTTTTCACTTGCTTGGACTTTTGAACAAATTTCCACCTCACCTCCAGGACGTGCTGCAAAATTTATAAACCAATTCAGATGCTGCAAAACTGACGTCGGTCGTCCTCCATTTTATTTTTTACTTCTGAAGTCATGTTTACTCATGCACATTTTCCACACTTCAGCTCAGGAGATGGCGGTACCTAAAAGTTGTTATCCAACCATTAAAACACAGAGGAAGAAAAAGAAGATCCCAAGTCTCTGGAGTCACCACTGTGAAATTGTTTACTACAAATGGCCAGTTTGAGGTTTTACATTCTGGCCAAATCATAGTGTGTGCATTCTGATCATTATAATATACAAAATAGGTAACATCTGTAATTTAATTCTGTAAATATGTCCATTTTTAAAATTGGTTTTGAGTTGAAAATCCTTTAGTGTGCACCAGGCATTACATCGCCATGTCTCAGCTTCTATTTGAATATTTTTTACACCAATCTAAAGAGAATTCTGTGGGAGATACACATGTATTTAACACAAAGAGCCCAAGGTTTAGTGATTCATAAGTAGTTTGACCCACGCTTCAAACTGTATCTCAGGGGGCTGTGTTGTTTCAGTGCAAGTTCATGTACGGAAAAACTTATAATTGGCGCTGAGTTGATTGAGAGCTGAAAGTTGACATCTGCACCGAGCTGGAGATGTCAGTGAAAGTGAGGAGTAAAGAGGTCACTATGCAAGTAAGGGAAATAGACATAAGGCCAGAAAAAGCTAAAATATTATCTGACGGTATCAAAGATTTTTATTAATTTTTTTCAACAACAGATTAAGTCTTAAGAGGAAATTCACTTTGTCAGCATGCTCTAAAAGAGCTTAGACTAATAACATGATTGCAGTAATCACAGGAAAACATAAATGTTTGTGCAAAATTTCACGGCCATCTTATCAATACGACATAGAACCATTTAAATGGACTTCATGGTGGCCCTACAAGAGATGTGAGGGTTCATCCTCTGGGGATCATAGATATCCGCCAAAGATGTCAAGATAACTTAACAAAAAGAGTGTCAGTCTAGTGATGGTGCTAGATGAAAAGGTCAGTGCATCAACAAAGTCAGCTTTCATTCATTCTCCTCATCAGTCAAATCATCACAACATGCCTGCATTTATTATCACCCAGTCAATGTAATGTGTCCTAATGAGAAATTCTCCAGACTACAAAGACAGAGATCGGAGAGAGAGACATGGGATGTCTGCTCTCAAACTAATGTTAACAATGACCTTTATAGGTTGCTGCATGGTCGATCAATAAATACATTATCAGGCGTCATCAAATGCATCAGGGGCGTACAGACACTAACAGCACGAACAGCACTGAATCATAAATAAATTACAGGTTAGTGGTTGTTTTTAGCTTTTTCAGACAAACAATGATTAATATGGGGAGAAGATAACTGTCACACACACAAACATTCTCTTTCTCTCACACACATTGACCTGTTAGGAAGCAAATTCTAAGCGAAGTGACTGTGAAGCTAATATGTGATCTGAGAGCATGAGAGGAAAAAGAACAGCCTTGATACGCATTTACTTTGGACAGTAATATGCACAAGTGTGACGTCAGCGAGAGGCGAAAAATGTTTATGGAAAAATGATGCAGAAAGCTTTATGTGAGTTACGTGCTGATTGTTGATCACTCACACCACCCAACCACCAAGAATACATGTTCGACAACCAGCAGCGCTCTCTCCCACGCACACACACATCCATCACTCAATGCATCCATCACATCACAACGGTGACCCTGTAGGTCTCAGTATATACTGTCCTTTTTATGGCCTAATGCATCCTCAATAATGGTCTGGATGCAGAGAGATGTGCGACAGACGTTGGTTACTATGTTGTAGGTTGTGAGACAGGAAGGGGGAAGGTGGACCCACTAGCTATGTTTCCTTCAGTAATTTATAATTTACAGCATAAAAATCTAAAGAATTGTGTTTAGTAAGTGTTCTGCATTGATTTATGAACTAATAATTATTATTCTGATGAAATCTGTTATACTGTATGACAGGCTTCACCTATAGGCCAATACATCCATGACGGCAGCAGGACTTATGTTAATTAACATTAACAATAAGCTCATTGTGAAGCTTTGAACTTTGTTTGCAGTTTTTGCTGTGGTGCTTTAGTCTTATAGTATCTTATTGCCTTATTGTATCTTACAATGTCCCCTACTTTGCTGAATTTTCAAGGCAATGAATCCTCTCCCTTACAAAATACCTGCAGACTAAAATGAGTAGGGTGTAAGGAGTTCATTACAAGAATCCTGTTTTTTTTTTTTAATTCTCTCTGTGTAACGTCATCTCTTAATATTAAAAAGCAATGATTTCATCCAGTGAGACTTAAAGGCTTTCTGAATATTCCCTTTATGACTTTTAATTTCATGCCAGCTTTTCTCACTCTTTAATTTTGGCTGTTTGACTTCCCCCGTAAACAACATGCTGGATTGCTTTCCGTAGCATTACTGTTCTCTATGCTTGCTACGCTGAGGTTATAAAACCTCTTACATCAAGCCAAGAACAAGACATTTGCTCCCTAAGTGGCTGCTGTGTCAATTTTGAGAGAAAGCTTTCAGTCAGCAAAGTTTGTGTCTTTACTAGTGTTCCGATATCTTTTTTTATTTTCTAGTGTTTCTAATTAAATTCCTCTTCTTCCACAGTGAGCGATAACACCAAGCTGGCTCTGATGAACAAATACAAGGACAACATCATCGCCACGAGTCCCATCGACACCAACCACCAGCAGAACACCTTGCTTCCACACAACACCTCCACCAGCCAGCGCAAACGTCTTTCCAGCAACACCCGCGGTGAGTCACTCCCTCCCACAGATTTACCCTCTGACAGAGAAAAGAAGAAAATAGATCACATTTAACACCACCGAGCCATGAGTCTGTCGATACCAGCAGCAACATGCAGTGCCTTGCGTCGTTGCATTGTTCTCTGTTTTTTTTTTTTTTTTTTACATCTAACTGCATTGCTGACTGCCAGGTAAAGGGCGGTTACACCTGCAGACTCTATTTAAACATAGATGACGAGTCTCTACTTCCTCCCACTGTTCCCGAATGAAGCCAGAATCTTGTTGATGACGCCATTTGGAGCCAATGATGTTTCATCCTGTTTTTACAACATCGAATGATTATTCAATACCAAAGTTATGAGAAACATGGAGACTTCAGTGTGATAAGAACCACCTGAATTATAAAAATAATACTTTTTTTAGTTTGGCACATTTCCCATCTGCCAACATAGAGGGGGCGGGTGTTTTGACCTTTAGAGATCTGCTGCAGCCAGCCAACACTTAAAATGATACCAAACACTATTTGCATGGTGTGATTTAAGACCAGACAATGTTAGCACATCACCCCGACTTATCAACTACAAACTACTCTTACAAAACCCTCCATGTCCTAGCCCCATGTCCTCATCCAACTCTACACTCCGCTCAGAAGGCTACGATCATCAAACTCAGGTTTGCTCTCCATCCCCAACACCAAACTCTGACCTTTTGGAGACAGAGCCTTCAGTGTCGCAGCCCCCACCCTCTGGAACTCTCTCCCTGCCGAAATACGCAACAATGAATCTGTCCAAATCTTCAAATAAGTCAACAAGCTCCACCTCTTCACTAAGGCCTTTGTTCTCAGTTAATGCTCCACCATGCTTCTGAATTTGATCCTGTTTTGTATAACTCATTTTTCTTTTCTCTTCTGTCTTGTCCTCCCAAACTTTTGCAAAGCATCCTTGAGTCCTGTGAAAGGCGCTATATAAATTCAAGCCCTAATAATAATAATTATTATTATTATTAAATGGGTAAATCGAGTACTGAAATCATAGACAGGGGTTGACAGCTGTTGACAACATTAGCCCCCCCCCCCCAWCCAGTTCTGGTGGTAGCTTGTTCAAAAGTGCCTGTGAGGCTGTTGGAATTTAAATGGTATCATACTGTTTGGTCATCCTAAAGAAAAACAGGATAAATAAAATCAAACTTTGTAATTTTTGGTAATTAGGATTAGAATTTGAAACCCACTTTGACTTTTAGTTTTCTATGGCCATTGCCTCGAAGACTTGGTGCCAATTCAGTCCACGGTACACTCACACACATATAACTCGTGCTCACTATATAGAGCCCTATATACTTTTTTTTCATTTAATAAAAATGAGTCATCAAATTATTAGGTTCCTCTTGCAGCGACATTGATCGATGCCCGGCATATTTTTATCACCAAATATTTATCTCACATCACTCTATAACAAAGACACGGTGAGTCACTGAATCCCACCACACAGGTTTAATCATTGACAATATTATGAATGCCCTTTGGGAAACTCCCAAGGAGCTTGGGCCTTTCTGTACACTTATTGGACAAAAGTTATCAATAATACAATAAAGATCACAAAGTTGTATAATAAACTTTGTTCAGGATACACAAGGTCTTTGCAGCATTCTGATGATTAACCCTGTGTTATAATCCACAGTAACCCAAAAGAGCATAGTGTGAATGTGGAGTGAACGTCATCAGTTAATCATTCTGAACAGGGCTGTATGGCACCTCTATCTTACACTGTTATTAAAAAGGTGGACATGTAGTCCAACAAATTAGCTTTTAATTATTATTATTGTTGTTGTTTATTTGCATCGGTGCAGCGTAAACAATGATGCCATGTAATTAAGTACATTTACTCGATTACTGTACACACATTTGAGGGACTACATAACTTGAGCGTTGCAATTTCATGTTACTTTATACATCTACTCCATTAGATCTCAGAGGCAAATGTACTTTTAACTCCATTATTATTTTCTATCTAGCTATAATTGCTAACTACTTTACAAATTAAGATTATTGCATAGAAAACACAAGAGACAACAATAAAATCCAGATTTTACATTAATGCATGTATAATCATAACACGTAGTATACAGAGTGCCTTCACTGTGAAGATGGCCAAGTTAATATCTAGCCAGCATCATTGGAAAGTTAAGTTTGAATTAAGTTTAAAAAGTAATGTTAGCATACGTTTCGATAGATTAATGTGGCTGCTAACAACATCTCACAAATGAAGCCTGATTGAGCTGATCAAACTTCATACAGGCATGTTGCCAATCTTACTAACTGATAAACAAGCAACCACCCTTTACCATTTGTGACCTAGAATGTTCAAAAGTGAAGGAAACTTCATCCCTGTCGCTGTGCAGTCAATGCTTCTGCACTAAATCTTTAATGACTCTGGCGCTAAAGGTTACAGTGTTTCACATCAGAAGAACATCTGTGTTTGGCTGTTAAAAGAGAAATTGTGTCCCGTTTTGATGAGCTGCTGTGGTTCCTTTCATGCTGTATGAATGGTTCCATGTGATGCAGCAGTCAGTTTTCAAGAGAGACTGGACTTGTAAAATGTGCAAGCAGCGAGTGTATGCTGTACGCTAATGAGACAGGAGAGGGGGGGTTGACTCAAACTTTAAAAAATCGGTAAAATAAGTGAGTAAACCGCAGTAAAAACCACCGAGCATAAACACAATTTTATACTTGAAAAGGCATGTATGCGTTAACCCCCCACTACACCCCTGATCCTAAAGTACTTTTTGTTCTTGAATTTATTTGTACTCCCTGCCGCTGAACTCACATTGTGATAGTGGAGGAGTTGTAACGTGCGATCGGAGACTTTGGAACAAAGAACAATAAAAGAGAGCTTACTCTTCATGAAATGGAGGAAAATAGCCCATCATGATAAACACAAGAAAAAGAAGCCGGCGACATTTCCAAAATGTCATTTTGGAAATCTTTTGTTGACCTCGGACCATAATTCACTTTCCTCTACACTTGGTTGCATGGGTGCTTTATTTTCAGCCCAATTAAAAACAGTTCTATAGCTCTAGTGGCTGTGGAGAAACTGCAGAAGTAAACTTTTCTAGCAGATGAAGAGATGGAGAGAGAGAGAGAGAGAGAGAGAGAGAGAACATTGTGCACATTCGACATGTCTCAGGTCTACACTGTCAACAAAGAAGTTAATAGGATTGTGATAAAACTGCCAACAGGAACAGAAGCTGTGTATTCTACCATTCATTTATTATAATTCTATCTCATTAATGATTGGTAGAATGGCGACATGATTCCCAGAACATAGTGCTTTCTCTCTGTCATGCTCTCTGACCTTCACTGGTTCATTGCATACCTGCAACCACTATGGCACTGATGAATGCTTGAAACACAGAAACAGAGCAGAGGAAAACAACATTCACCAAACCCTTTTATCAATAATAGAGGCTGAGAACAAAGAGTGAATGCCCCGAACACCTCACAGAAAGCAGCACTTGACACTGTCGGCAGCTCCAAATGGCGGTCTTGGAATATTAAAAACTTAAGCGCCCCAATTCTCTGTAACATCGGTGAACTGCAAACAACACAGTGATATTTACCTCTCCTGCTAGCAGGGGAGGCTTTATAGATTACTTTGAGACGTGGGTGTACTGTCTTAGAAAAAATCATCCTGCCATGACAACTTTGTGTAATGTGAGTTCCTAAATCTTGATCGTCTCTTGAAAAGTGACAACATGCATGATATATTTGAAATTTAAAACAAGCTGTGTCTATATACCTCTTAAAAACAACCATTTGTTTCCATGCACACAGTGATTTGTATCTCTGAGATGTAAAAGCAAAGCTAGTCTGCACTGTCTTCTACGGACAGCCAATACTGATTTCTTTCAACAAGGATCGTATATATAGTTATATATATAGTATATAGTTTCTTGAACCTGATCCAAACATCATGTCACAACAATATATATATAGGCACTGAGAGAACACTGGACACAGGGGCTCTGGATTGTGGTTGAGACTTTTAATTGGCCCGAGATAAATATATTCTCTGCTGCACATCATAGTAGTTTCCGGCACTTTACGAGGTAGTAAAAGTAAACTTTCATTTAGAAAAGTCTAATCCACTGTATATTAATAGAATGAAATAAAAAACAACAATATAATTCAAAAAGAGAGATGTCTAAATGCTTACATTAATCACAACACTCCTATCATTTGGTCACTCCATCAAAACCATTGACCCCTTCCTGCTTACACTGTACAGACAATCAACCACTGTACAGTTAATAAGCTAACATTAGCAACTGTATCTCAGTATAAAACACGATTGGTCACCGCTTAAAACCTCGCCAAATTCTAACTTTTAATTAAAACAGTGAATAAAAAAGGTATGTAAGGTTCATGGGTAACTTTAGTCATGATATTGTTATAAAACTGTCTGCACCATTTAGTGAGATTTATGCTGTTAGTGGAACCAGATGGGTAATTTTAGGATCCAGTTATGTTTAGATTAGACAATTTGGTGTATTATGCATTACTATACAGTTTTAATTGTTATTATGAAGTCTTGATTTAATAGATGTATTGTTCCAAGTGTTCTTAGACTGATTTTCTACTTCTTACCTGTAGCAACATCCCAACTGTCACTCAATTCTGTATTGGGTGTGAAGGCTCAATAACAAAGAAAACTCCCTTTTTACTGCAAGAAACTTTTCCATTAAAACCAGACTCAGTGTGTTTGGACATCTGCCTCGACTGGTGGGGGTGAGCGGAGTAAAAATGGACAAGCTGGTAAGGACAGAGAGCTTTTGTAACTAGTATTCATATGGTGGCTGGCATATCAGTGGTTACCCACCACACTACTTGATGAGCCCGAGACCAACTAGCCCTGAAGTTAGTCTGTTTTTTATCCAGCCTTTAGCAACATGGAGTTTGCAAATACACATGTTTGAATTTAAAGACAAAGGCACAACATTGGGTGTGGTCTGGTC